TCACGCAGATACTGACGGAAGCGAGGCGGGAGGCAGAGGAAAGGCTAAGAGGAACGCAAGAAATGAAATTTACCATTTCCACTAATATCGAAGACGTACTGTTTAAAGGAAGAGTTCGCGTCAATGAAATGAAGCTGAAAGACTTTCTTACGAGGGAACTGGACGGCAGGGGCATTGTGGACACTAATCGGGATGTCTTGCCGGAGGAGTTTTTCAAGGACCCCACGAAGTATATCCGTGATAAAGGAGCATTGGACGAAATACAGGCATCAGGTCATTATTTGAGTATGAAGCGAGCTGTAAAGGGTGAAGTGATCTTCGATGAGGATATACGCAAGCTTTGCGATAAGGGTGTCAAGAATCCACCGGGGCGGTCATTAGCTGCTGCGGAGGTAAAGGCAACTGTTCATAACTCCACCAAACATTTCTTGGATTCAGCTGCCGAGGAGGCGAGGGACCCAACGACGACGAGCGCACCGGAGAAACTGGAGGGATGCTACGAGTCTGTACACAATGCGAGGTGGAGCCATGCGGTGGAACTTCCGGACGACGTGGAGCGAAAGAAAACGGGGACGGGAATGTGGGTGCATGAGGGGAAGCCAGAACAGTCATGGTCGCACAAGAAAGCTGACGACGCTACCGAAAAGAATGACGCTGTGCAGCAATTCGGTGCGGCACCTCCCGTGTTGATGGTGCTCACCTCGGAGAAGGGATGGCCGTACTCGTGGAATACGATACAGGATCTTCCTAAGGACGTTTTTGTAAACTGTGAGGTGGATCGAGTGTGGCAGATCGTCAAGGGCGATCTAACCGCGTGGTTCAGCCCTCACGGCGGGACCGACTTTAGGCCCGAGCGACGTGTATTGATTGGGACGCCCGGGATCGGGAAATCGGTGGCTGCCGGCTCGTACCTCCTCTACCAGCTGCTGCACGACGATTTCGAGAAAATCCAAGTGGTAGTCCACTGTTTTGGTGGAGGAGATGCGTACGTGTCTGACAAGACCACCAGAGCGGTGACAAGATACGGCGATGAGGACATGTGCATCTCGGAGTTGAGAAGTTTGAGGGGGCATGGGAGGAATGTGTATATTATCTACGATGTGGCAAAGGAGGGAACGCCGCCACCGAGACATTTTGCGCCTACTTCTGGATGGGGCATGATTGCGGTGTCATTCCCAAAGGTAACCAACTATGATGAGTGGGCGAAGCAACTACAGTCCGCGCGAATCATCGTGAATTGCCCCGACGAGATGGATGTGGAGGCGATGTGCGCCTGGATAACGCGTGATGAGACTAAAGAGAAACAAGCGGAATACTGGAAAGGGGTCAAAAAACACATGTGTCTTTTGGGACCGATTCCACGTCACGTCTTTGATGAGGAGGCGTTTACGGAACGCTGTGGAGCGGTGAAGTTTGCATTGCAATTGATCAACGAGGTAACTGTGAAAGAGCACTTTTCACGGGGAGGTGAGTCGCCATGGTATTCTGAGGATCCGTCCCACAAGCTTGTGAAGGTTGTTCGGGAAATATACGCAGGCGCTGTGATCCTTTTCAATGCACCGATATCTGATTGCCTCGAGGAACGGACATTGGAACGTTTCCCAAGTGTAACAGAACAAAATGGCTTTTTGAGGCTGATGTTGGCGTCGAAGGATAATATTTTGCCAATATTTTTTGGATGGTTTGCTTTGAAATCGTTGACGGAGGGTGCCTTTGTCAAGGTAATAGCGACGAAACTCACGGAGTTTGAGCCGCCAACAGGACGACAAGCAAAGCCCTGCGTCTTGAAGTTGGCCCCTGAATTGCATCCCAAGGGAGATGAGGGTTG